GGCGGCGGGGCCCCCCTGCCCCGGCACAGCGAGCTGCTGCCAGATCAAAAGCGCAGCCACAAGCAAGAGCAAGAGCAGAAAACAAGAAAACCGCACGGCATGAAAGAGGCACAGGAGCACACTGAGAGAGGGAGATGGCCTACTCTGCGTCAGGAGCGGTTTCTGAATTTTTAGGGTTTTTTTTTTTCTCCATTTCAGTTTCCTCCTGTGTCATGCGGTGCCAGCTGGGGGAGAGCTCTCTGCACCCATCGCCCGTCGGGGCCTGTTGCTGGCTGGGGGGACCAAGGGGCTTCAGCCCCTCTCCCAAGCAGATATTCTCCAGGCCAGACTTGGTCCTGCAGGCATCATTCCTCAGAGCAAGACCACTCACTACCTTCAGCTCTCTTTTTCCTGTCCCTCAGAGAGGCAGGGATTATTAAAATAAGTCCAGAAGGAAATTAAACCAGTTGAATAAGAGGGGGAAGTTAAAATGAAGTGGAAATCAGTGTTCACTTGGGAGGGAGCCCTGCTCCTCCATCGCTAGACATGCTAATAAATAGAGTATGCCTGGACTGTCTCTGGCACAGAGGCCAACTGGCATGAGATGGTCTGGGCTATTAAGCTCACTTAACCTCCAAAATGAACTGGCTACATGCCAGCCGCCTAATGGGAGTGGTTCCTGGCCCCTGCTAACACCTCAACGCATCCCGGGACCTGCTCAGGACAGCAAGAGCTGTCCTGGGACAAAAATGTGTCAGGAAATGTTCTAGCAATTTAACGGGACTGATGAGTGTGTTCCAGTGCCTGGGGACATTCCCTGACACCACTTAATTTATGAGTACCACCGTAAGATACATCTGGCCTGCCTGTAAGGAGGCTGTGGGTCTGCTGTAGTCATCCGCTAACGAGAGCGGCTCACTCAGCCAACACAGCAGAGCCTTGCCTGCCGAGAGCTGTGAACTCCAGAGCAGCGTTGCCTGTGATCTGACCCGGAGGGATACAGGCAGAGACAGAAAGACAACGGGAAAAGGAAGTGGCACGCATGAGAAGTAGAGAGCCAGGGAGAGAGAAAGCGCATGAAAGAAGTTCTAGCTGAAGGCAACCCATTTCTCCTCGCTGACTTGTGACATGTAGGTAGGTGGTAAACATCGTATTGTAGAGATCTGCAACAGAAACACAAAGATTAGTGTGAATGAAGTAGGAACGCAGAACGTGTGAAACCACGAGAAGAAACAAAACCAAAGGTGCATCAATCTGCATTTACCACGCTGCGCAAGGTCAGCAGTTCACCGGTCCCATGGTGCTCTGATTGTGTGGTTTCACTCCACAACCAGGTAGCAAGAAGGCAAAGAACAAACTGAAGCCAGAAGATTACAGGAAAATAGAGATTCCCAGCCAAAACAAAATGATGTTGTGTGACTCAGTGATTTCATTGATTTTTACCTGTTCCATGACCTTCAGGTTTTATATAAAGGTTAATGAGTTAAAATATTTGAAACCCAACACTGACGCTGTTAATTTGCAGTTAACCCTTTAGAGTGGGGGCTGACTTTTCCTGCTGGTCCCACTGAGACGGGTGGTGCAAGTGTTCACAGCAGGGACGAGGTTCCCTTGGTCATTCGGGGAATGAATCTTACCCACGGCCCTACGCCAGTTGTCAGTTATAGATGTGTCTTCGTAGTGAGACGCATACAGATGCCTTGTTGTCCCTTTCTTTATTCTGTAGCACAGCCCAGCAAACTGCTTGATCACTGCTACTGCATCTTGTTAGCAGTGATCTCCAATCACACGCACCAGCTCCTCTGTTTTACTATTTTCGCACAAAACAGCTCATGCAAATATTCCCTGGGGCTGAGATGGGGTTTTTGCTTTGCACGAGGCAAGCCACACATCTTGTCTGACTGTGCCTTTGCCATCTACGTCTCTTCGATGGTGCACATGGCTGCTGCCTTGCTCTTGCACCTGTATTTTTCATCTGTGTACATGTGCACATCTGGCTAGCTGCCAGATTGCCGGTCGTGCTGACCTGATCTCCATGTAAATGTAGTGCTGGTGTTTTCATCTGCTCTTTGATATTTTCATGTCCTCTGATTATTTACATGAATTTCAATATAAAATTATCCTCTGATTGAATACATTATATTTAATATTGCACATAACACATATAAATATTCTATAAAATTATTCTTGCGTTTCTTTTGAGTTCAATCCCATTATGACTCCAGGCTTCAGTCCACCATGCTACCTGTGACAGGAGGTTTCTATCACCAGCTAGAGCTGAGAGACCATCCCACCAGCTATCCTACTGACTTCTCTGAAAACCAGTGTGAATTTTTTGTTAGGGATCCATATCTCCTTGGGCTTGGATCTCTCCTCCATGTCCCCACTACTTACCAGTTCTACTTCTGATATTGGATTTTCTCCATTGGTAGCATCCATAGGTTTTTCCATACTCCATTAAAACAGGATTTGGTTTGTCCAGCTTGCTTCCCACTGCGTGTCTCTTCAGCTTTGTCAGCTTCTGCCTGACCCTTCACTCGAGGACATGGAGTTCTTGTGTTTTGGACGCTTCAGCCAACGTAATATGTTCATTTATGTTTGTTGGATTTTCCCCAGCCTTTGTTTAAAAAAGTTCTTACTTTATGTGTCAGCAGTCAGGTGCTGTTTTGGTTTAAACAAAGCTTCTCTTGCTCTAGATGAAGCCTGTGCTTTCTGTACAGGGCCCCCCCCCCCATGCTCTCTGAGTTGCCCTGTTCCTGATGACCCCATACTCCTCTACACTACTTTCTCTGTCACACTTGGCAACCCTAGCACTCTGCCTTGTCTTACGCACGTTTCTAGAAGCATTTCCATCTTTCAGCTTCCTGCCTCACAAGTTAAGCTATGCCTGTAAAACCTTTTCTGGCCTGTCTCCATGTTGTGTGCACAGAGCACCCCCCAGCTCCCCTTCACAAACCTGACATCCTCCTACCTTTGCCTCAACCTGACCAGTACTGAGCTTGGAGGTGGGATGCTTCTCAGCTTCCCCAGAGCCTCATCAGCTGGCTTCCTTGCCCTTCTTGGCTCAGCCACTTGGCTGCAAGAAACCTCGTGGAGGTCTCTGTCTGAGGGATGGTGGATGCTTGCCAGGGACAAGTCCTCTCAGGGCTGACGCCTTATACAAGCAACAGGAGAGGTCCACCCCAAGGACCTCTTGGCATGGGGAGTGCCTACTTTCAGAGAGGTGAAGTCACCTCACTGGTTTTGCTCACTCCCCAGACCGGTTCACCTGCTTGGCTTCCTTTTTGCGATATATGTCTTTGCTTTAAGGATGGAGAGCTCAGTAGTCTCTTCGCACCAGCAGCCACAGTCCCTTCACCTTGTCAGCCCACCCAGCTGCAGCTGATAGCAGCACGTGGTCTCTGCTACAGTCAGATCCTTCATATAATTTGATAACTCACCTTAACATGATAGGTAGCTCCCAGTTCCCACTCAAGGTTTTGTTACCATCAGTGCATCTTCTTCTTCTGACCTCATTCCTCCCTCCTGACCAGACTTTTTGTTGAACAGTGTTAAGAAATCAAGCAAGTCTTTCCAAAAACATCAGACTTGGTGGTTATTGAGGTTCTTCAAGTAAGAAATAAGCGGACAAAACCCAAACTGAAGAAAAATATTAGTAAGAGCCTAAAGATGGCCTTAACCATAGAATCTCAAAATTGCACAGAAAGATTTAGATGGCAAGTGACACCTGGAGGTCTCCAGTCCAACCTCTTGCTCACAGCTGGGATCCTTATATCTAGTCAACAGTTCCTGGCTGCGACCTATGGATGCTGCCTCCTGTTCCTCTCCTGGACACCTCTGAGAAGAATGTGGCTCCTTCTTCTGAGTAATACCCTTCAGATAACGGGAGACTGAAACTAGATCACACCTTGGCTTTCTTGCTCCTGCCAAACCCAGCTTTCTGTGTCTCCCTGTGTATCGTGTGCTCCACCATTCTCAGCATCCCACTAGCCCTCCAGTGGACTTCATCCCATTTGTTGGCATCTATCATGCACTTGGGGCCCAAAACTGGATCCTGTGTTCTAGACGAGACCTCAGGTATGCCAAATAGAGGGGAATAACTGCTTCCCTCAGCCTGCTGGCTGTGCTCTTGCTAGCGCAGCCCTGTATGTGTTTAGCCATAATTGCTGCAAGAGCGATGATAGCCCACCATAGAGAAGTGAAAACGTACAGAACTCTTGGCAATATAAACACCTGCAGTCCAGCGAATGCCAGAAACCTAGGGATGAGTAAAATGAAATGTTTAATACCAAACTCTATGGGGAACAATGAGGATGCATTCCTGGCTGAAATGCGGGGCTCAGGTGACTTTACCAATGAGTTTCCACTGCACTGCACTGAAGGATGGTGGGTACTGGCTGGGAACATGGGCCTTATCCACCAAGGTCTCAAAATCAACCACTGTTAACAGAGCATTTGGATCTTCCAGGATAGCACCCCTTGGCACCGGCAGCACTTCCAGCCCTGCGGTCCACGGCAGGGCTGACAGCTGCCACAGCGATGGAGCCACGCGGCACGGCAGTGAGCAGCACACTTGCCATCTTCTTGGTTCTGCATCTGGGTGAGTCCTCAGCTCAGCGAACCCTCCCAGTTCTTACAGCCTTCCCACAAGCCTCACAACGTTTGGGGTGGTTTTAGGCTCCTCCCGATGTGCCATCTGACATACCTGACAGGACTTAGAGCTGGCTCATTCCAGTAACACAGCTGTGACGGCTGCCTTCTTACCTTCTCTGGCCCACTCCTGCACTGCCCGACAGCTCTCTGCGGGGCCACGTGGCGGAGATTAGGACGGGGGGCTAGAAGCTGAGGGGCTCCCTATACCATGCCCTGCTATTTCAGAGGCAGCATGGACAGCTAGAGTTTTGGGACTCAGGGTGCTCCCAGCCTGCCCGCTGAGCCTGCCAGCCAAAACAAGGGTGTCTGGAGCATCACCTAGTCCAGGGAGCCGGCCCGCAGAGATGCAGGAGCGGGGTTCCCGTGAGAGCCAGGGCGCACACTGAGCACAGAGTGGAAAACATGGCCCTCCACACTGCCTCCCTGGGCAAAAACTTGTGCGTTTCTCATCACAGGTTTGCCTTTACGGATGTGACGCTACCTGCTTGCTCAGTTTGGCTGCTAATGTTACAAGATTTGGTGAGCTTTTTAGCACTCATTTTCCAAGAAAGGGAGGCTACTGAATAAGGCCAAGCCTGCATTTCTCAGATACTCAGCTGTGACTCCTCTCATTGCAGAGGAAAGATTGGAACTCTTGTATGCACCCTTGCACTAAAAGCAAAGCAAAAGATACCAACTCTCATTAATAGCATTTATATTTTCACAGTTTAAGACAAGTTCATAATTTTCTGTGGTCCAATGTGTAATTATTGAAAACCTGTATTGGCCATGTTGCAGATTACCTATGCTCTTGGAAGAATACGTAACTTGTGGAAAACCCTCCCCTGAACTCATGTAAAGTTTTTATTTTGCATCTCTGTGGCTCTCCAGTACTAGGGTCACCTGGGGGATCTGCAGGTTAGGCAGCTCTGAGAGTTTATCAGCAGTGAGGCAGGAGACCACAACCCCCTTATTTCCCATCGTACCTCTGGCAACTCCATCTCCTTCTTATGGTCTCCTGCAAAAACCCTCTTTACAGTGAAGGAAAGGAAGTGGTTCTTCCAAGGAACCACTCCTAATGTTTCTTCAACCTTATATATCCTACTTCTTTTACTGTCACATAGTCCCCATCCCAAGAACAGGAACACGACATTAGGCCAGCCTTCTTTCTTTGCTTTTTACTTTATCTGTTCATTTTCCTGGGCCTTCAGTCTTGCTCCTTGTAAAAACTGGAAGAAGAGGTGAGCAAATTTGCCCGTGCTGCCTCAAGTCTTGACTGGGGAGTGAAGGAGGGCTGGCCTATGCTATCCTGCCTTTGCTACTAGCAGGACAACAAAATCTTGTACAGTGGAAAAAGGTTGTTTCAGTAAAACTGTTGACATCTCAAAATTGCGAATGATGGTGAATCCAGCACAACCACTGGCATTTTCCCTATTTCTGAACGTACGCGAAACAGAATAGCCGTTAGGCAGCTAAAGAGCACATAGTGGAGGGGAGGGAAGCTATGGAGCTGAAAAGAAAAGGGATTGATTGATGAGGCAAAGGACTGAAAAATTCAGAAACTGAGGTTAATCTTCCCAGTATCTGGCAAAGGGAGGAGAAGTATCTGGATCTTTCTGGAGGGATGGGAAGTATTCAACTGAGCCACCCTTCAGAAAGTGAATGTATGCCTTTTTTGGTGGGTATTGATTTTCAGGTCTGATCCCCATTACGGCTCAGCAAAATGACCTACAGGTTGGGGTCGCAGGCCAGGCGGTGATCCTGAACTGCAGAGGCATACCTTCTGGCAGAGGTGTGATCTGGAAGTACTATAAGGCAACTGTTATCAGGTTGTTTACAAGTCCCCCTTTGAAAGGTAAGGTTTCCAATTCATCACTCCTTCTCCCCAGTGTATGGCTAAGAAACCTTTTCCCTCCTAACCAAGTTTATTTTTTCAAAAGGCAGAGCTCCCATGAGCGATCGATCTGAAATCATCACCGAGAGTACACAGCTGAAGGTGTCTGACTTAAAGCTCTCTGATGCTGGCATCTACACCTGTGAATATGACTCTCACACAGTCAGTATCTCACTGCATGTCTTTAAATGTGAGTGATTAGAGGGGTTTTATCCATGAGGAGGTGAAGGGGGAAGGAGACCATAGAGCTCGGAGAGACATCTCTGCTGGGATTTGTTATCCAGCTGGCATTTCTTCTGGCCTGGGCTATCATAGTTCTTTTCTCCTCCATCTCCAGGGCAAAAAGTCTCCATACACTCTTTGCTGTGACACTTGTCCCTCTCTTGCAGGACGAGGAGTTGACTTACTGGCTGCACTTTTTCTCTTTGCAGTGACGATCTCTTTAGACGGGCACTTCCTGACAAATGAAGCCCCCGAGCTGATTTTAATGCAAAACTCATCCCATCCTCTACCTGATCTCAACATCATATTCTTTAACAGTAAGAATAACACAGTAAGACCAAAAGTCATACCAAACAAGGCCCGTCAAGAATACGTACTGAAATTACAGCAACTGGAGGCTAAGGACAGTGGGACCTGGATGTGTCATGTCCATTCAGACTCTCCATTGATTAATCAGAACATCTCCTTTGATGTGAAGGTATTAGGTATGTAATAACAACAACGCAGCTCACACACAGGCTCAGGAACCAGTGATGCCTCCAGCTCATGAGCTGAGCTTTTACTTTTCAGCATCCCAAGCAATGGTGCTCCAAGGTCGATTTCCCAGGGCTTCTAACACTGCAGCTTGGGGATTGCTCTACCGCCTGAGCTCTGTCCCGTACTCGCTCCCATTTTCCTCTCCAGGTTTTCCCTAAAAGACCTCCCTCTCCTTGGGGTCTGTTCTCAGCACTGGTGAGCTTGGGAGCTTTGGGTCTTTGAACCTGTTCTCAGACACTAACTGTTTATCCTCCCTGTGGTATCTCATGGCTTTTCTACAAATCCTCTTTCAACTGACCAGAGCATGCATCTCTCCAGATCAAGGGTGGACATGGGGAAGTGTAACCACGGCTTTTCCTGTCTCTGTGTTCCTTGTCTGTTCTGAATGCAGGTTTTCAGAATCCGGACTTCGAAAGACAATATGCAGCTGTTGACAGCACTGTCACCTTGTCATGGCATCTGAACTTCCAGAAGATAAAATGGAAAGAATATTTCACAGGACAACTGAATTGGAAACAACAGGAAACTGCAGCTGCTCATGAGCTGCTTGATTTCAACATCACAGAGCGAGAAGGGCAGCATGAGACCAAAAAAAGCAGCCACTTTCGGTTTGAGATACCCGAAAGCAAACCTAAAAGCACCATAGCAGTGAAACTCCACAAAATTCATTTGAACCACTCTGGGCAGTACCAATGCCAGCTGGTGTACAACAGAAGATCTGTGACGAGCAAAATAGAGCTAGTGGTGATGAAAGGTGAGAAAAAGAGAAGTGGGTCAAGAGATGAGGAGCTGCAGAAACCTGGAAGCCACAATAGTATGGGTGGATCCATCTTCTCATGCTCTCATTCACATCTCCTCTTCTTACCCTTACAGTCTCAGCTAACCCTGTTGGGCCACTTCGCAGAGGGGCCAAGACAACCCTGATCTGCCAGGTCTCTCATCCACTCCCATCCAACGCCCACTTGCGCTGGGAGCGTGTGAATGGGACTCAGACGGACATCATGATGTCAAAGCAGCATGAAGCAAAGGTGGAGGTGAATGTCAGTGCTGCAGGGTTGTGGAACTGTCACCTCATAGAAGACAATGACAGGAAGATCAGCCTTAATTACGCTGTGGGTATGGAAATTAGCATCATGCCCCTGCCTCCACCTAAAAGCCTTAAAATTCTCTATGTTAAAATTCTCTGTCTCTGAACACTTTTCTCCTTCCACAGAGGAAGCTCCTGTTTGGATTAGCTACGTGGTAATCGGAGCAAGTATTGGAGGCAGTGTGTTGGTGTTTGGCCTTGCGTGTCTATGCATCATCAGTGGCATAAGCTGGCAGCGGAGAAGGGTGAGTCCCCCGGTCCCTGTGCAAGGTGAAGAGATGACAGTCTCCCCAGACCACAGGCTAAGTCTGATTTTCTGTCTGGGTGCATGGCAGAACAGATAAAGGGTCAATCCTTTGACTCAATGCAAATGGTTACAGATGGACAGTCTGCAGATGTCAGACAGTACTTTACTACCACTTCAGAGGAAAGCATTTGAAGTTTAAAAATATCCGATCACTATTTATCCCTTCTCTCCTGGCAGCAACGGGCAAAAACGATGGCACGAGCAAGACAATACTTGCTGGAAAACAAGACATGCCAGTGTCAACAGTAAGTGGCAATTGAGGGCACCCAGAATGGGCAAAGACTCTGGTTTCAAGACAGAGGAGCTGGATGGTCAAGCGGGGAGAAATGGAGCATGAGCCTGCTTGGTGCTACAGTACAGCTACGTTTCAGTATTTTCAGCTCTTACTCGTGTTAAGTCATGTTTAAGAGTTATGAGCTATGTTTAATGAATTTCCTGTTATACCCCAAACCCATGGTAGCACTGTGCTGGGAAACTTCTGAGCAGAGAGGTTTCACTTGAATTCCCCTGATGTTGAGACATGCTAACCAAACCCAAGCAGGGGCTCCAGAGTCCTTTGACATGTTCCACAGTGGATCTGGGACCTGCCTATCGAAGTTGTGGAGATGGAAGGCACACAACCAAGCTCAAGGATGAAACCCAAATTTTAAAATCCATGATGTCCAGAATGTGATTCCAGCTCTGCTAGCACAGTGCTGGACTGCAATTTGTGAAAATTGCCAATAACGTCCTTGGAGCAAGGAAACAGAGGAGAAAACCACAGCACACTATGAACCATGCCCTCTCCCAAAGGCCTGGCGTGATATAAAGTACACTTTCATGCCCTGGCCCTTTTTAGTGGTAGCAAGGATTTCTCAGCAGAGAAGCTGCCCTTTTCCAGGTCTTTAAGCTTATATGGTATCAGGCATCAGAAGCAGCTGTGGTGAAACACTGACAGCTATTGTGTCACTGGAAGTGGAGAGCAAAGGACAATATAAATGATTGCATGAACAATTTCAATGAATCTATAGGTACAGAACTGGACTTCTGCTTAATTTTCACTGTTGACAGTGGCAAACTGTCGTAGTTTCACCTATTTTTTTTCACCATCTCTGAGAATTCAGTGAGAATGCTTATTGGCAAATACTGCTTCATAGCTGAGATGTATAGGAAAAGTTGGTTAGCATAACGTGTGTCAAAGAATTCACCTCGTTTTCACCTCCTTGTTATCAAGGTTAAAAATAATCCCTATAAGGAGAGGACAGAGCCCATACAACTACATCAAAACCTAGATAAATCTGTGCAATACAAGTGCTGATGCAGTTGTTCTTTAACCCTCTGCCAAGTAAGCAGCTCAGTGTAACTGAAACCTAAACCGCAGCCATGTGGATGCACAAGTAACCATTGGTATCCTCAGCTACAGAGGCAGGCAGTCAGTCTCTACACTAAGCAAAAAAGTGGGGGGTTGGCTGGCTTTGAGGTGTCTGAGTGAAGCCTTTCACCTCTAAAATACTGGTACTCACACCATACTTTTCTCTTGCAGCCGACTGAATAAGTAGTATTGCAGCACTGGAGTCAGAAGCACTGACGAAGTCGCTTGCCTGTGCCTAAACACCTGCCAGCCCATAGTGCCCTGTGAATCCATCTCCGTTTCTCCTTATTTGTTGTAATTCTCTATTCCTTCATCTTTCTCCCAGTCGAATGCCATGGAGGGATGTTGTCTGGCTAGGAGCCAATGGACAAGACAAGAAACCCTTAACGGGTTATGATTGATCCCCAGTTCTATAACGACAGACAGTGAACAGAAGATACATATACACACTTACATATATGTTTGTATCTTGCTCATGCACTCCATTTGACTTTCTTGTGGAACCAATTTTATGTACTTCTTTTATCTGCCTCAGCTACAATAAATTACTTCGGGGTTGGGGGGGGGGATCTGCAGCTGGACTAAATTTTTTTCCAAGACACTCTCCTCTGGTTCAAATCTTCATTTCTCCTTTTCCTGCTAGGCTGCCGCGAGCCTTCCTTTCTGCACCAGTCCTCTGCTATCCATGAAACCTGTCCACCATCATCTGCCTTTCCTGGGTAGTCTGAGCCCTGTGGTCCCCCCCGACCCCTCCCTCAGCCTGAAGTCTTCCCTTCTCCCACAACAAACCAATGCACAAGGGAAAACACCACGAGCAGTGGGATAATTCAGGACTAATTTTGTTGGGAAGGCAGTTCAGGATACCAGTAGCTTCTGGAAATCAGAGCCTGAAGAAGTTGTGAGTTGATCTAGAAGGTAAGTTTGGGAAGGGAGTGACAAAGGAGAGCAAACCAGCCTTGGACTGAGCAAGCACACAGAGTGCAGAGAGCAGATGCTTCTGAGAAAGCCACCAAAAATAGTTCTCACCAAAATGGCTTAAGAAGACGGGAAGAGGGAGTGGAAACCCCAGTAAATTTAGGATGGAAGTAAAAGCGTGTCGCAGAGATGCCAGAATGTCCTGAAAGAAAAACACTGTTAAAATATGTACGCAGAAGCCTTGTGTTTATAGATGTTATTCTACCGTCTGCTAGCGGCGGGTCAAAAAGGCTTTGAGGGCCTTCAGCTGTCGCTGGCTGGGGTCCAGGTTTGTTCGCTTGTGCTGGGCGTGCTGGGGAAAGGCAGAGAGGGGCAGAGGGCTGAGCGAAGGGCGCCACGTGGGA